GGCAAAGTGCTTGTCATGCCATATATAAAGAGATACATGGAGGGCACGCCCCACCTCCAAAAGCATATTACAGAGGCATTGGGTAGGGATAAAAAAAAAAAACTAAAGGCAGCCACCACCCTTCCACAGGAGGACATCAGGCAAAAGGAAGAGGAAGAGATGCAAGATTTGCCCTGCTGCCAAAGGCAAAAGTCAGCAGTTGGTGTTCTGTTGATTCTGTTCCTGTTGATATTTGTAAAGCATGTAAACAGTGAGATGTCAGTTTGCGTGATACCCATATAATTTATTTTATTTTTTAATTCTGTCTATCACACAGTGATATGTGTACATTATATGGGACAAAGTGAAAAATAAGCATGTTTCAAATATGTTTGGTCAAAATCACATCTCTTTTTTTATCAAGTTTACATTCATGGGTGTAAACATGGTCTAGTAATACAAAAAATAATTTTGTTCGTAAAGTAAAAAAGGAAACATTTAAATAATGTCAGAAACAAGATATTTAATGAATATGTGTAATATTAAATTACTAAATACATTTATTTCAAAGATATAGCAAACATTCAGCCATGCATGAAACTAATGACCCATGTTATGCATTAGAAGGGGTTTGGTTAGCTTGTACATCAAAGAGTTAACCTCACTAAGATCTCATTGGCTCAGTTGTTTTTCCAAACAGGAACAGCCATCAGTGAAGCTCTTCAGGCTTATGCGTAGGGTAATTAAGAGTTTTTCTGCTACTAGCTACTTGCCTTACTGCAAATTGAGAGCAGAATTCAAGTCAAACCGGTGCAGATGTAGAATATGTGGTTTGTAGTATGAGATGTCCTTGTGCTCATAGGATACCCTGCTGTATCTTTCCTGTCTCTGCGTTGTGTACAGTTTTTGACTTAATAATATCTGAAAATCTAACACTGACATGCATCCCCCACTAGAGGTGGCTGTTAAAGGAAATGCATAAAGGAGATGTGCAGAAATCAGCATACAATACATCTTTATATGTGCATCTATGCATAGTAGAAGAGGAGATTGCATTTGTATTGAGGAGATTGTATTTTTTTGCAATTTAATGTTTAGATGGAATTAAGAAATTAATTAATAAATGCTCCTTTTTAAGTTTCATTTATTTTTGGGTGTGACTGAAATGGAATATGAATTCACTTTGAAAGTGTTATTAAACAAGTATTAAAATTTAGTTATGCCAATGCTACCTACTGGTTGTAGTTTCTGCTGAGCATGCCAGATGCAGTAGGTACACATAGTCAATCTGTCACTTTGCCTGACAGCATCCCCATGACTCAGGCAGACGTATGGCAGAAGTTGTTTTTCTTTTTTCTTCTCAGTAAATGTTTTCTCTATGAATAATAAGAGACTTCTGTTACATATCCAGTGAGTTTACAAATCAATGGCAGTTCAAGTGAAACGTACAATAACATGTACTGTGTGATCAAAATAAGCCAAAGGTCAACATCATATTATATAGTTATTATTGTCCTCATGGAGATTACATGTTTGCAAGTGGCTTTTTAATTGGTTTACCTTGTTCCCTGTTTTATGTCGGTCATTAATTTGCCACTGACAGAGACTTCACCTTTGGGATTTACATTTGTTTAGAATAATGAGACCACAGAGAAGGGCGACCTGCTCTACTGGACAGATTTTTAGTTGACAAGTAGGAGACAATGTTAGATGTTGCTCTATTTCTTTTTGTTTGTCTTAGTTCTTACAGGAAACGCTTGCTGTAACAGGGTAACGGTAATAATCTTGGATAAATTCAGGCCACCTAAAAACTGAGCATATCAGTCAGAGGTGTTCCCCATCATTCTACATCAAAGCTGGATGTTATCTAAACTAAATATTGGATGCAAACACCCCTTGCATAAATATGAACCAGATATATTTGCTTTTGTGTGAATGCAGCACAGATTGCTGGCATTTTATCATCAGCTAATGCCATAATTACGGCTGCCACAAACAATTTCAGTTAATCTGTTGATTAGTTTGATTATTTATCTTATAAGCATATATTACAAGGTAGTTTATTTATCGTTGTACAACACAAGGTTGTGAAATTAAAGTTTGTAGTCCCTTCATGCTACACACACAGAACTTAACAGATAATTAATGAAAATATGGTAACATATGAAATAAATAAAATAATATAAAGTTATTTATATACATGTATACATACACGTGTAAACAGAACTTTCCGCAGTGCTTTTTTTAAATTTGCGTAGGTGTAGAATGTAAACAGCAGCAACAAGATGAAAATATGGTTTTCATCTTCAGATAAAAAAAAGTCTGACATTTGGGAAACGGTGTCCATTTTGTCCAGACCAGACCTTTAGGAGCAGCCTTAAGTCCAAATTTTGCCTGTCTACTTCAAACAGCTTAAATTCTTAATCTTAAAAATGTAAACACTTTGTATTTAATTTGAGTTTTAAAAAAGCTGTGACAGAAGCTGTGTGTTTACCTAAGAAATTACTTACACAACCAATCGGTTATCAAAATCATAGATTAGTTTTCTTTTGAACTACTAAACAAATAATTGTTTCAGCTAAAGCTAAAAATGTTTGTTGTTTTTAAAGTGTTCAGTCCACATGAGTATTTATGCTAGCTGCATTCCATGTCCATTGTCGTCAATTTATGTGCAGCATTTGGCTGTACGCCGTGTGCAGCCACTTGGTAAAATGACTGTCTTTAAATGAAAATCAGAGGCTCTTAAAGCAGCTAAAGAGACGTCGTTGCTTTAGCTACTTTATTTCCCCATCTGTGACACTTTCCATCTGTGTTCCTCAGCTGGAATTTTCTTTGACAGCTGTATTTCCAAAGCCGATAATGTGATTAAAACATTGGCACAATTGGATTTTATTGGATTGGATTATGGAATTAGACATTGTCTTGTTTAAACTGAGGCTATGAGGATACAAAAGACAGAAGGGTGATAGCTGGTGGTTAGAATAATTCTTTCATTTCTGTGACCGCTTTATGAAAACTAACTGTGAAATGCTGTTAAACTATTGTGTTACCATATGTTGGCCATCAGTTTCTAATGTACATTCTTAGATTTCATTTTAGTTTTTCCTCTGTTTTAAATGATGAGCCAAAGAGAAGCCAGAGTTCATCTATTATCAGTGTAATGGGGTGGTGAGTGTTTGATGTGCACAAATTCCGTCTGAAATGGACTTACTCATTGAGCCAAGGCAGACCAGTCTCTGTGTCTTTATAAACTGTGGCCTGGACTTGTTTACTGCGCAAGTACAAACACTCAAATGCTCATGATGTATCGCCAAAGGCCATAATGTTGGAAATGGTTGAAAATGAAACTGTCTTTAGTGAGGGTTTTTCATTTTCTGTGTTTGTGCTTGGAAAAGCGGTGTTGATGGGGGAAGAGTTGGCGCCTTTCAAATCCAGGTTTCACATGGTGATCAGTACTGTGTGCACTGGAGGGCATTATATACTTTTTAAAGGGAACAGATTTTATATGTGTAAGGACATTTTACTTCAAATATTAGACATTGCTATCAGCTGTTTACAGTCATGAGAGAAGCAGAAAATATTATCGTTTAGCTAATATTTACTGAAACAAAAGTACTGATTAGGAGATTCCTGTCACTCTGATCCAAAACATACATTTATCCTAAACAGATATTTGCTTAAGGTGTTTTTTTGTTTTTTTTCTAATTCAACATGCAGTTGCAAAGAATATCAATCAATATCAATCAATTTTATGCTGTGAAGTGTGTATGACTGTAACTACCGACTTTTCATTATGGATTTAATATGCCAATTATTTTCTCGACAAATCATATGTTCAATAAAATATCACACAGTAGCCCATCACAGTTTCCAGAGGTGACATCTTCAGTGTCTTGTTTTGCCCAACCAACAGTCCAAATCAATAAAATTTATTATCACATATGACAAATAAAATCAGCAGCGAGAAATAGTTTACCTGTCGATTGACTGATGGATTACTCAGCTAATCTTTTCCGCATTAGATGTACTTGTTCAGCCAACGCCAGTATGCTCCATCCAGAAATCCTTAATCAATTTCAAATAGTTTAACCATTTTATTCTGAAATAAAACTGTTGTCTTCTGCAGATGAAACATAGCAGGACTTTGGTTTTCTATTTATCGTAACATAATTTATGACTGAACAGTATAACCCACGTTGAATCTGCAGCTGCTCCTGACCCAGATTTGCTCAGACAGCAACAGATCCATCTCAAGAACGATGGCTGAAATGCATCATTAAACCTTCCCCATACTCCCAAATGACAGGGGAACATGAGAATTCTCCTTGGAGAGCCGATATGTATTTTGCATCAACAGAGCTGCCTCCGTTTGAAGGACTTGCAGATGTGTTGGAGCGGCTGCAGGCTTGCTTTGGTGTTTGGCCCTCTGTTTCTATCCAGCTTACTGTATCAGCTGAGGGAGTTTTCTTGGCATTTTCACCTGCCTGGAAAGTTACTTTAAAACTCCAGGGTTTTCCTAAGTGCTTCTTTTGTTTATAGGTATTTTGGGAAGTCAATTTTGCTGCTCTTAAGTTTTCATATACTCTAGTCCCCAATGCCGGAAGTGTACAGTATGCTGGCAGATGAATTTCACAAGTCTTTTTAAGAAGTGCGAAACCGGACACCAGTTGACCCAAGTGTGGTATGAAATACTCGATTAGCGGCTACTGTAAAATGCCCAAATATTTTCACTGTATCCATCAATTTGTTGCACGGAAGCTGGATCCAATCTCTAGGATTATAGAAAATGACTTGGAACATTTTATTCCATTCCTGCAAATGAGCAGTATCAGTAGCCATGCCAAACACAATATCCAAAGAAATGGAGATCCACCATAAACACTGCTTTGAGTGAAGATACCGTAACATTTCAAGGAGATGGATAATCTGTGTGTGATTTGGCTGTGTTAAGGTTGTATATGTAAAACTGAGTGGCTGTGTGCGGTTTTATGAATTTAATTTTTGTCTTTGTCTCACCCTAGCTGCCTCTGAGGGGAGAGTCAACGGCGGGGAGGATTTCTTTCAGAAGGTGAGTGTGTAGTCTGCACTTGGATAATGTTTGCTTTGTCTTTGGGTTTGCATTCAAGTGCACTGAGCAGCCCTTCTCTCTCGGTAAGGGAACAGATGTCAGGTGCTCCTCCAGTCACTCGCAATTACAAATCAAAGCAAACAAAAACAGCGGAACAACACTGACGTTAAGTCACTCCAGGTCCCTGATCCTGTAACACAGCTGACACAACACTGTGGGCCTTTCTCGCTTACATAAGTATACCATAATATACCAGATCATCTCTCCAGTGTAAAAGGAGAGGGAGGTTAAACACAGACCTCTTCCGGCCACCATTGCCTCGTTAATTTTTCCTTTGTCACTGATTTAATTGTTATTGCTCTGAAGCTTCATTACATGCAGTAAAATAACGATTTGCCTTGAATGGGTTTTTATAATCAACTTCTTCAGGTTGTCTCACTGGTTCCCATTGATCAGTCAAGTGTGGGACCCTGTCTGGTTTTAGATGTCTACCGTTGTGTTTAAATAGTTCTTCTTATTAATTAATGGTCTTTCATACAGGTTCCCACTACAAGGATTAGTTTTTGTTCGATTAAAACCTCCATGTCTCTAACAATGAAATAATTCCTGAACATTCATTAATGATCCTACAATGACTTTCTTCAGTGTTTATTTCTAAAAACTATAATGTATCAATTTCAATAGAAATCTGTTTCAGAACAGTCTTTGCAAATTCTTCAGGCTCTGAATCTTCATACTTTAAGTATATATAGTAAAATGGTGATAAAATGTTTTGCCACGTAGCCCAGCCGTAATACTGTTCATTACACAGTTTCTATTTATGAAGCAGCATTATGAGGGAAAGCAAACCATTACCATTACTTGAGACAGTGACTGTGTTCATGAACTGGCAAACAAATGACCATGATCTGTGAATTAGTGAATATGCATGTGTGGTGTTTGATTTGCATCGAAATGTATAGAGACAAAACTAATCACATGGCACTGAAAATGAAAACGATTGCATTTTCAACAAAGTTAACACAAGTTGAATTTTGACAGCAGTTACTAAGAAAGTATCTTGTTAATTATAAGTATTTTAAGTGAATTTGTTCTTGTTTAAAATTCCTGAAAAGTTTCCTGAGTATGTTAAACTCCCTCTATAGTATGTTAATGGGCTATAATGGAAAAAAAATGATGGATAGCGGTTTGTTTTGGCATTCCTCTTTTGTCTATTTTCCATATTTGGGTTTGGAGGTTAGGAAGCTGAGCTAAATGTCAAAGAAGGAGGCAATTTAACTGTCCCTGAATGAGTTTTCAAAAACCAAGTAATGCAAACCAGGCGCCTTAAGATTCCGCTCCTTGGAATTTTAACAAGGACTCTAGATATACTGTAGTTTTGTCTCCACCTCTTTGGTTTGGATATAACTGTAGTGTTTAAGATATCCAGTGTAGGTGTCTACCATCACTCCACAAAGCTTAAGCAAAGTACGGCTGTTGGTGTATTGACTTTGCCACTCATGGTTTTTAACATCTCTGAATTGAATATTGTCACAGCTCGTTCAAAGAAACGGTGGTTAGTAGAGTTTGAATTGTCAATTAGAAATTAGTGTGCAGCTGTTTGGGTTGGCAGGCTGGCGAAGAGCAGTGAAGGAGGAGTGCTAAAGTCATGTTTTTATTGTAGAATTTCCATTTGGATAACTCTGTATAGTTTCCCTCTGATAGCGTGATCACCATACGTGCCCTATTAAAGCCAGGAAAATAAACAGTGAATGCGACTGTGGAACAGTATTGTTGAAAGCAAATGGATGAGGTGTGTGAAATACCTTGAAGTTGATGAACATGGAAACTCTTAGTTGGGACTGCTTCCTGCCCCTCCAGCACACCCATCTACCACACACACACACTCAGTGAGACTATTAAAGTACATGCCTAGCAGCTCTGTCCCTCACGTATGGAAGCATATGGTCATTTTTGATGCACACACTTTTACTAACTAGGAGATTTTGTAGTCGCCTCAGCAGTGAGATTCAAAGTTCAGTCGCTGACGAGAGCAACATAAAATGGTCCACCCCACACTTTTTCTCCAGGCCCTGTTGCTGTGGTTGATCAAACCCTCTTACTCACTGTCTGCTGAACTTCCTTTGAGTCCAGAGCAACATTTTGTAATAGAGAGCAAACACTCCACCCTCTTCATGTAGTCAATGAAAAAGTAAAGACGATAGCAGGCAAACTGGGGAACACAGAGGGGTGCCACAGCTGGGAAATTACCTACATGCAAGTCCCTGCTGCTCACACGGGGAATGTTGCCAGCTACATGTCGCTTTCTTTTTCAGTCTTTGTTTTGGTCTCCTGTCTGTCTTGTGTTTTCCCTCCTGCTCTTCCCTCGTTCCTCTTCTTCCTCCTGGTGTTTTAACTTTATTAAACCACTGGTGTATCATTGTTATCAGTCTAGTATAACAAGGGGATTTTTTCTGCAAATGAAGTGCTTGATTGTGTAACAGAAAACGTGTCACTGAGCAGTTCAGCACACTGTTGTGCAGTGAACATTTTGGACTGTGCACTGTTGGGAGTGTCAAATCGTGGCACAGACCACAAAGCTTTTTGGAGGGCTGTGCAGAAGTCGAGCCGTGGGACGGCAAAGAGCCTAGAAGCTCGTCTGGTTGAGCCGATAACTGTACACTACTGAAGAGCTTGGAGTGGATTCGAGTTGAGGAGATGTCTTTGAACCCTTAGCGAGTTCATGTCTGATCACCCTTCCATCTTTCCTTCCCAGGAGTTGTGGCTCAGTAAATAATGCCAGGCGTGATATATAAGTGCCAGTGCACTCAGATCTCAGGCCAGGCGTATTTCATTTCATTTGGTTCATAGCACTGAAGCCATGAACTATGCTATGAAGATCTTGTATTTCGCTGCACTGACACACGATAAATAGGAAATCTTTAGACTGTCAGGATGAAATATTTGGTTGGCATAAAATTGTGAGATGTTTCAAATAACATGCTCAGTACCATCACAAACAAAACATATAAAAAAAGTTTGTTTAAATTAGTTTATAATGACATGTATTGTTGATGCATTTCAGCAGTAGAATGTTTTTGTGCCCTCCTTATAATGTGTGTTGCTCTTTCATAAGCATGCATATGTTGTAATAGAACTTTATCTGCTAGTTAGCACTAACTCAGTTATGGCTGAGTCTCGTGGGGATAGTTCAGTCCATGCTGTCAACTTCGAGCTCTGCTGTTCCCTCTGTCAGTTTCTTCTCTTTGCACAACTCCCCCCCCCCCCACCAACTGCCCTCTGTGTCCCCTTCCCAAACACACAGACAGACTCACACTCAAACACACACATTCCAGCTGAATCAACAGCTGCACCATTGCAGTGCAGGACAGGAAACATGCCTCAGCCATGTTGATTGCTGCTGTACTATACCTACACGCATTCAGACGTACACACACAGTCACGTGTGTTGAGCGTGCGCGCTCTCTCCCTCTCTCTCCCCCTCTCTCTCTCTCACTCACACTCACACTCACACACACACACACACACATACTCTAATGATATCCTGTTTGATTTCACGTACAGCTCTCCACACATCTGCATACACCAGCTGCAAACCTCTAGGAACCAATCATCATGTCAAGGTTGTGCCATGAAACTGATCAGAACTATAGTCATTTATGTTTTTATTCATTTCAGAAATGGTGGGGTAGCAGAGAAGAAAGGGTGGAAATGTATAGGTAACTTAATTTGTGTAAATACCTTGACCTATTTGAGAGGTATTTGCTAGCCCCTTCATAAAAATAAACTCCATCCACCCTTTAAAATGGTGTGTGGTCTGTCAGAAATCAGTCCCATCTGCAGGACGTTGCCAAGAACAGCAACGCTGGACAGGAAACCGGTCTCTCTGAACAAGGCCCTTTTTGAGGAAAATCTTGATGAGGCATAGGCCATAAGTTTGATCATTTTAGGAAAGTATAATTGTAGTACTTCTATTATGTTCCTTTTGTAATTTTTATTATGAGCTTTTACTGCATTGTATTAAACATACATACATAGTTGCTTAAAAAGGGCTGGAAAGGACATTTCCATTTGTAAATAAGCATATTTTAACAAATGGAACTCACAATCAGTCATCTACCATTTGCTCCCACATTGCAACTGTAATTTCAACATCCTCTGAGAGGTTATGGGAGTGTTATATTTCTTTATTTTGTGGTTTTAAATTGAATGCCTTCATGACATAATCCAGACAAATCTGTCATCATTGCAGGAGACTGAATTTAAGAACAAAAACATGGGGAAACAGGAGGCAAAAGTAAAAGAATTTCTCGTTATCACTGGGAACAGAATGTCCTTTTAATGCTGTTGTGATACACCCAGCTGTTGGTGTGAGCACGTGACTTCATGGGTGATGGAGAAAAAAGTTTGCATTTAGTTACTGGGTATTTGTGACTTTCTCATATCATTTGTGCCTTGAGCTAGTGTGAAACCCAGTAACGCAAAACTCATCAGATTTTGGGTTCAGTCCTAAACTTCACTGCATGTAAAACCATTCTGAGTGAATAGACTGATAAAGTTATTGCAGCATTCGTGATAATATTGCAGAGACGAGGAATGGGAAGGTTTCCAATAGGAGGACATTAATGGGGGATTATTAACATCCTGGACACAAAAGCTGGAACTTTTTTCATCCTGGTTACTCACTTTGATGATACCACAGAAGAATTCCTTACAAAAATAGCTACGCGAGATCATCTGAAAGGAATTCTCCTTTATTTTCATTGCACAAAATCATACCAACATTCCTTTTGGTTCCACGATTCATTCAATAGAAACTAGATGTAAACGCAGAGCCACAAGCAGGAGTGTTTCTCAACAATTAGATGATAATGATAATGCCAAAAGATATGTAGCTTAGGCCAAGAGCTTACGAGGGGGAGACAGAAGAATCTAATAAAACATCAAGAAAGACATTTTCGTTGTACAAATGTGTTTTAGCAATGATTTTCTTGGCAAACAGCAATCTGTTTTATGAGTTTTTCTGAGAAATGCAGAATCCTGTTTTGCTAGAGAACAGACAAACTCACCTTTTGAAGGAAGAGTTCTTAATTTTCTGCTGAGAGAACAGAGAGCCTCAAAAAAGTTACATTTCTGACTTCTGACTGTTAGTGGTATAATGCGATGGGCACCTCCAATGTTATTATGGCATGTTGTAAAAAATCAGTGAGGCTTGAAAGGGCTTCCAGTCAACCATCATGGATTTTTAAGTATATTGCTGCAGAGTAAAGAAAGGCACACATCAGGCCTTTCAGAGCGGTCTCTCTGACTGGCAGTGTATAGGCTGTCAGAATTTGTTATAAAGGATGCAAAACAGACCACGCTACTTCCAGAAATACATATAGAGGAATTCAAGCACTTCCCTTTTCGATTTGTGCACCATATCCCCTAGGAATACAGGCTGTAATGCTTATTATTCTGCAACGAAAAATAGCAGATATAATTTAAAAGCATTTGTAAAAAAGAAAATGAAGGCTGTGAATTGCTGTAGCCATGCTAATAGGTCTGACAACATCTAATCTTCACTGGGAGCACTGATCACTCTTAATGCACCTTCTCTCCCATTTAAGTTACATTACGTGGCTTGTTGCTTAATGCACTAGACTTCCAAGGAACATTAAGTGGCGTCTGCTGCTCATGTAATGGCTTGAAGCAGTCCTCGGATGCATAATCACATGACTGAAACTTTGAGAAAGTCTTCTCCGCCCCGAAAACACAAACCCCTGGAAAGTATTAAAACAAACAAAAGGCCACAGGACCCTTTGTGAAAACAAGGATAATGCACATTGAGGACAGGCATTAAGAGAGAGAGCATGTGAAGTTCTCATTTGTTTTGCAGGGTTTGACAGTTTTTTCCCTTTGTTTTTTTTCCCACCCTCCAACATCAACCGCTCACCTTGCTTGGCTGAAAAGCTTCCTCATGGCTGAGAAGAGGAGCAGGAGGTTGGTTAATAGATTCCCCATGATTGGAACACTGACTCTTGACCAGCTCCATAGTCTTTTTTTTTTTTTGTACTGCAAGCAGTTTGCCTTTATCACACTTGCGCCTGGTTACGATGACTAGACTTGTCAAAGGGCTCTCACACAGATTATTGTTGGCATTTTTTCACGTGTTCCTAAGCCAAGTGTACTCAATTTTTTTTTTTTTTTTTTTTTGGGGTGGTTTTAGTGTGGGAGGAATTGGGTGTTGAGCAGAAACAAAGCAATGTCTGGAAACATCAAATAAGCTTATAACAACAGACATGTTTAAACTAGACTCGCAGCTTCTTTGACTTCTCTGGCTTCCATATCCTTTTTTTGGCTATTTTAACGTTCTGCCTTTTCATCATGTAAAGGCTTTTTTTGTGCAGCTGTTGACTGCTAAAACTAGTGGTGTTGTACTCAAGACTGGTCTTAAGACCACATATTGATGGTGAAGGTAAATTGCTTTTGCATTGTCTGATTTATTTGTTAACATCCTAACTTTATTGGATGTAAAACGTATTGCTTCAAATGCAACCATTAACCCTTATTAAAAATGTGGTGTTCTTGTTAATGACATGGAAAAGGAGTGTTGAATAAAGATGCTTACGTTGATTTCAGCTCTTAGTGTTTGTATGTGGGCGTTTTTATGGGAATCTGGATCTTTCAGATCAATTTGAGAAGTACCTTTGACCACGTTTCACATTTTACTGTGTCATATAATGTGGGGAACTGGTCTTGGTCTTGACTCGGTCCCGCCCTCCCTCGGTCTTGGTCTCAGCCCCTAAAAGTCTTGGTCTTGTCTCGATAAAGCCTGGTCTTGGTCTTGACTTGGTCTCGGTTTGAGCGGTCTTGACTACAACACTAGCTAATACCTTGTTTCATCTGTTCTAAATATAATCTAAAGTCAACAAAATGAATGTTTGCTAGTACAGGAGAAGCAGCGAGGAGTTGTCCACACTTCAAGCTAAGCCAAAGCCACAAAATTCTACAAAGGTCCTATGTAATACTGACTGGAGCGCAGTAGATACTAGGATTTTGTGACCAATACTGGTATTAAAGTATGAAATAATTATGATTAACATAATTTATCAGCATATACAGTATATGCTGATAAATTATTATCCTTCTGCCAACTCACATTAGTTAGCTGTTTCTGCCTGCTAACACATAGTATCTGTCAATACTGATATATGTGATAAGCTAATGTCGGCCATCCTTCACTCTTGCAGGTAATGGATGAGACCCAAACGCAGATAGCCTGGCCGTCCAAACTGAAAATCGGAGCGAAGTCAAAAAAAGGTGAATATTTTTGTTGTTTTTTAAAATCCAATATTGAGATTATTCTTATGTTAAAACCATGTACTTCTTCCATTGCCTTTTGCCTTGTGCAACTTGAGTGTTAAGTGAATGATGTGTCTACAATATGAATGAATCTGAAGTCAAATAAATATTTAACTTGCCATGCATCAAAGTCCATAAGCTCAGGCATACATTTTCATGACTTTCCTTAAATGTTTTTCTTGAATGCCTTTTCACTACATCTAACAGAAATGCAATGCTCGCAAGTCATTTCTAAGATGTGCAGCAACAAAACTAATCGCTAAAGTAAACTTAACGGTTGAATCCTAAGTGACAACATAGCTGCGTTATCTTTCCAAATACAATAAGATAATAATAATAATAATAATAATAATAAGTCGTCACTGGACTCAGAAAGTCAAGGAGGACGGATTTCAAGGTTACACTAGTGCTCATTTTTGTTATTAATCATATTAAAAAGTTGATTGAGAAGTTTGAAGAGATTAAAGCTTGCATGTTGTCCATTTGTCACAAGCCAGTAACTTCATCTGCACAGAGGAATTTGTGATTTTTGCTGTGGAGGCGGAGGAGTGGGAATTGCTTATATTGAATCCCACGCATTTATTAGCCAAGTTGTTCCAGCCCTCTGTTACCAATAAAACATTATCACGGTTATTTAAAGCTCTTCCGGGAAGGGGTGAGGAGGGGGTTGAGGAATAGGTGTAGCCGTGCCCACTTTGTTGTCCCCAGGAGAATTGCCAGTGTGCGTCTTCAAGCCAGATGTGGAATCCACTGACATTATGTAACTTCCTCACTCACTCTGCACGGAAAATAGTTGACATCAGAATCTTTAACATTTTCCCCTCTGCTTGCCTAATCAACTGTAAGCCCCGGCAATCCATTCACACACAACAACACAATCATCCGGAGTATTCGTTCATTCACAAAACCTGCCTCCAACACCACCTGGGCATGATGTTCTGTGTACGAAGTGAGGATATTTGAAATTCTCAGCCATGATTTGTAGCCTGACAGATTTTTCCACTGTGTAGGGTAAACCAATTGGATGATCACTTACAGTTGTCTTATGAGCGAATGCATTTGTGGGAGAAGAGACATGTGGAACTGACAATGTGTTTAAACAACCTGAGCTCATGGGAAAAGCGTGAGGGTAAGAGAAAAATGGATTGGATGGCTAAAAAGAGAATATTCTACAGCTGACAAGAGTGACTTAAATTAAACTGTGGATGCAACACCAGGTGGTTAAAACCTCACAGAAGCCAACAGGAAAATTACTTGAGACAATGATCCTCATACCTTTCGTCCCATATCACAAAACTCACTTGCTCTGCCCTTGAAAATAGCTGACGTAGTTATTTTGTTGATGCAGGGTAACATGATTATTTTGAATTATCCTAATCCAAAACGATACTCTTAAAGGGTGTTATGGTTCCTTGTTTTCCTGGAATTTTGTATTAGCTTCGTCTTTCATGTGCAGTCTGGAATCGGTTACACTCTGCAGGATGGCGGCAGATGTGAAGGGAATTTGTATGTTTGTAACCTCTCCCCATACAGAGCCACACTCCATCAAAATGCCAGCTCCTCCAATTCATTTATCACCTGCCGCTAGCTATCCCTGCCACCTGCGTAAGCATGATAAGGCCAGTTGTTAGCTTCTGGGGCAAGCCATCATCAGCACACTATTAGTGATTTAATGCAGTGAGGAGGCTTATCAGTCTCACACCAGACAGGGCTGTGTTGAACTGCGAGATGGTCTTTATGTTTCAAGCAATGATTTTATTTATAAAATTCCTTTGCTTTATTTTTATATGATAAATATCATAATACTACTCTTACTTGCCAATTGTCTGTTTCAAGATTTTCCTGCAGATGTTTTGAATGAGAAATACAGAGCCAAAAGGACTTAATTCCCTTCATTTGTGTGGTATTTTCAAATGCAGTTCTCAGCTGGAAAAATGCTTTAGCTTTGCCAGTACAGAGCTCTGGGTCAAAAGGTTTCTTCTCTGTCTAGTGTAACTATAAAATTTGTATGACTGAAAACACATCTTTTTGCAACTGCAAGTCTACTCTTGTGTTTTGTTTGTTTTTGCTTTTTTAGGTGTTTTGTGCACCAAATTAAGACGTAGGGTGTTTTTTTAAAATTCCACAATCAATCATTAAAAAAAAGAGCAAAAAGCACACTCCATTTAAAAAATGCGGGGGTGTTCTACATCACGACTGCAACACTCGTTTGGGCTGGATAATGTTTGCCAGATGTGCTGTGCAGGTTAGATGCTGGAAGAGCCATACTCCCTCTAATGGTCACTGTGGGTGCCACAGGAGGAAGTGTGGGGGTTTCTATTGTTCACAGCTACAGCTGTATGATGGGAAAATTTCCTGGAACCAGTGCAGGGACTGTGATAGGTTTCTGACCGCTCTTTCTGCTGTTTTTTCCTTTTGTTTTGTTTTCCTGTCTCAGACTGCAGCTTGGTTTTTGTTTAGTTCTTACTCCTCAAGCCTCCTAAGAGCTGTTGTTACTCTCCAGTATGTTCTAGAATCTTTTGTAGTGTGTGTTGAGGTTGCCCGACACCCGTGACACACTAACCAGATCAGTGCTTGTTTGCTGGTACTCTGTGGTCCCCCCAGTTCCCAGTGCCCATTAAACAGAAAGCTGAACCTCTGTCAGATAGTTAAAAAAAACAAAAAAAAAACAGAATTCCAACCCATATTCTTCTGCACTCTAAAGAAGAATGAGATCATTTGCTTGGTTGGGCTTTTTTTTGTACTCCCATTGTCATCACAAAAATTTTTATTTTTCTAGGTGTTGTCATTTTTAATTTTCACTCCCAAGTTCCTTGAAAGTCTAAACATGTGTTAGTGGGGTTCTCCGAGGTCCCAACAACTTTGTAGTAGTAAATCTGATTCAGTGAGTCTTGTCTGAATGCTATACTGTAAATCTGTAAGTGTGTACGTGGGTATGGCGAGGGGTATTCCTGGAAGGGGGCTTAGTCGACTTCCTGCTACTCAGTACAGTTAACGCAGGGGCGATGGACCGTGTGTGTGTACTGTGTGTGTGTGTGTGTGTGTGTGCACGTTTTGAATTTGTGTGTTCATGTGTTTTTACATTTGCGTTCTCCAGGGGTCCCGCATGTGGCAGAGCCAGATGTAGGCTTACCCAACATTATGCAGTCACAAGCATTACCTTTAAATAGTTTAGGTATGCAGTTTTTGGTTATTTTAACTGAAGTAGTCTGAGGCTGAGGAGGTCTCTGGAAGCACAGTTTACTCAAGTTGTTAAGACCTTAACTTGCATGTTCTTCTGTGTGCCTGCTGAGTGTATTTACTCAAACATTTAAGGATAACGCAGGTTCTGTTGCAGGGTGGTATCTAGTCATTTCTTGAAGAGGCAGCATTGGTTCTGTGTGTGACAGCTGATAAAGAGCACACATAGACACGCAGAATCATGTGCACCAAAGTCTTGAGAAAGACATATTTTTTTATATATAGTTTTATATATTTTTGCAGTGACTGAGTGACAGAAAGAGGTTCAGGAAAATGAGATAACCATCACACGCATCTGTCTTCTATTGAGACTAAATTGCAGCAGAGCAGTTCTCTTCACTTCATACTGTTTCTGTAGGATGTACTGACTGATGGATTGCCTGAACCCCCCCCCCCCCCCACGTGGTTTCTTGCAGACTTAAATGAGACTCGACAGATATCAAAGCTGCAATTACTGTTGCAGAGCTTTTCTCCAACATGCGGTAATTTGTTGACAAATGCAGACTGCTGTGTCATTTCTGATTAAATGGGTTTAACTTCTGTTCCTCTCTCACATTCTCACTCCACCCTTTATCAGCACTGACTCACTCACTCACATATTGAACATACGCAGACATTAAACACATGCTGTTGTTTCTTTCCCCCTTTAATGTTTCCCTTTCTCTTTCTCTCCCTGCAGATCCACACATCAAGGTGTGCGGGAAGAGGGAGAATGTGAGGGAAGCCAAAGACAGAATTATGTCTGTCCTTGACACAAAGGTACAGTAAACATCTTTATCCCAGTGAAGATAGACTTCATGTGTATGTCTGTAATTCTTTCCCTGTCTCTTCTTTCTCACCCTTCCCTGGTGTTCAGCTGCACCAAATGTATTTCACCCCAGCTCTCCTGCTGTCCAAGTGACAGATTGCACACAGCAGTGTGGTACACTTCGGCTCTAATCCTGCCAGATACTCGCACCTTGAGCTTGGATTGCAGTGTGTGCGTGTAGGCTTCATTGTCATGGCAACACAAGACTTCACATACCTGGTTGCACTGTAGCACCCCCTGGGGGCAGGCAATCATCCATGCACTCTACAGCCACACAGAAGAGAGCAACACATGATTGGCAAAGTTTATAGCATTTCATATGGTCTTGTCACGAAAAGGTCATTTTTAGTCTGGCAGCAGTTATTTGATAATTCGATTCATTTTTTTTATGTACTACATATTTTGTGGCTCATTTATCTCTTTTCTAAATAACTGCAGCATGTGAAAGTGTTTAAAACAGGGCAAATTGTAAGTCTGCATTGGCCTTTCCGTAAAGCAGCATCTGTAATCGGTGGGAACCAGAGAGTGCAATTTGACTTGGTCCTCCTTGTTGTTTGCTTATATACAAGACACTACAGACAAAAAAATATTTTTTTCATGCACTGGACAATTTTGAGATTTAGGGGTGTTTTGCACATGTCTTCTTTCAGACTAGTGGAAAGAAACCACCCAAAATACACATTACGTGTTTATTTTGCTACACTTAAAAAACTTAGCATTAGGTATTGCCTCATTTACATATTTAAACATTACATTTCAGAGTTAGCTGGCGGAAGTTTCCTTGTGAAATCGATTAGTTAATTTTTTTTACCTATTCACTTTATGTCAGGCCTTAAAATGTCACATAGCCTTAGAAACAGGCACATTTGATTTGATCCCTGATAATGGTTATATAGTGAGTTTAATAAGCTGTCTGTGGTAATATAATAACTGTCATGCCTCACAGGTATTGGGTAATGAAGCCATCTATATAATAGATGGCTTCATTACCCAACAGTCACTTGGGGAAGTTACAGCTACAGCAATATTTTTGACTTGCAATGAATGCAGTGGAAGAAAAAAAAAGAGCTTAAGTTTTAAAATTTGGCCATTCCGTCGTTTTCTTGTCATTTCTAGCTTTGTTATGAAATGCCTTTAAAATAAACGTATAATAACATGCACCTTTCTGTTGGTACCATGCTTCACTCACTGAGCCATTGTATGTGTTGCCAGTCATTGTTTCACCCCAACCCTCTCCTTTCTGCCCATTAGAGTAACAGGGTAACTCTGAAGATGGACGTTTCCCACACAGAGCACTCTCACGTTATTGGCAAAGGTGGCAACAACATCAAGAGGGTGATGGAGGAGACAGGGTGCCACATCCATTTCCCAGACTCTAACAGGAACAACCAGGCCGAGAAAAGCAACCAGGTTTGTGGGGCTACAACATAGGTTTACATTGTGCAGTCTCAGTGAGGCAGGAGTGATGGATGGGTGGAGGGACCTGTTCAGTGCTGGCTGAGTTTGCCCCATAAGATATTTTGCTTTAATCTTTTGAACCACAACATTGCACCAGGATTATATTTCAGGTGTAAGTGAATTGCTTTTACCTGCCTTGAGTGTTTACTATTATCATCCCTCTACTCTTTATTTTCTTGAGTTGTAGCTTAGGTTGTTGTTAAGATTCTAAACCTGCAGTTGCAGTGAGTTGGTCCAGTTGGCTGTTTTGATTGGCCAACCCAGAGGAAGCTGGTGTGTTTTGGCTGGACACACTAGAAAGGCAGTAGGATCCTGCTGTAATTACCATTAAAATGTAGTATGAGGAGTTCAGGAAAGCACACTGTCTGGCACAGTATTAGATATTTATCTTTACCAGGTGCTCTACACTGCACCTGTGGATAAAAATACTGAAAAGTTTGTTTATTTTTAAAGGTGTACTTCACAGATTTAAACCATATTTAAGTGGATTTTGCATAGAACAGTATAACTACGGTATGTAAACCATTAAACTTGCCAGTACTCTGTATCTCATAGACTGTTCAACCTCTTCCAGTCTTATGCTGATGCAAGTATAGGCTAATAAGTAGCAAGAGACTCCTTTTAGACCCAAGACCACTTAAGCTGTCTCTTTTTTAGCTTCAAAAGCGTACTGACTGCTGGAGAGCATTTGAGATGCAAAGCATGTTGACAAGTGCAGTGGTGATAAGAAAATACAAATGTGAAAATCAATGAAGATGCTGCTTACCTTTCACTCTCACTGGAGCTGGAAGAAGTGGTGATGTTGTTCAAGCACACTTCAGCAGGGCAGATGTTTGCTAACATGAGGCTTAAGAATAGTCTTCATTTTGAAAGATATACCGGTAATTGCTGCACAGCATCACACTGCTGTGTGTTTGTGTGTACATAAGTATAATGCATGTGTGTTTTGTTCTGGAGCAGTAATACCACGCTTTAGTTCTTGGTTTTCTCCACAATGGTGAGCAGTTTCCTATGAAAGAGGGAAAAGAATAAGAGAGGAGAAATCTAACCAGACTATTTATCACCATTTTCCTTTATGTGGAAATTAAATTCATCTGGGCTCAATTTCTTCAGTTACTTTAATTGTGGACGCCATGTTTATAATCACAATGTTAAATTCATGGTGACTGAATGATGTGGTTCAAGAATATAAAACATTAACTGGAATTATGTCACACGTAAGGTTAGGTTTCAGTTTACTTTTCACTTTTGCTTCTTTTTATCTTTGTAATAAATTTTGCTTTCAACCTTGAAATTAATTGTATGCATTGATTTGAGCCATTATTTGTCTTGGATTGGGTTAGAACTGGATATCTGATTTACATGTTACTTTTTTTATTGTGAACAGGTGTCCATTGCAGGACAGCCAGGAGGGGTTGAGGCAGCGCGAGTAAAAATAAGGGTAAGTTGATGCTCAGCCACATTTATCTTAAAGGGACACTCCGCCCAAACACTCATTCCCTGCAGGCTTGTAAGTTTGTAGTTTTGACCTTTATAGAGCCAGAGACTGTGGTCGGCTTAATTTCTGACGGTTGCAATTGATTTTAGTATAGACACATTTTTAGAGTGGAAAAAAATATAAATATATCGCAGTATCATCATCATATTTTTGTCCAATATATATGGCTGCCACTGCCTCACTTTGAATAAACAACCCTGTTGAGCTCACGAGCTGGTGTGTGTGTGTGTGTGTGTGTGTGTGTGTGTGTTTGTGCTTTTTTTTTTTTCCACCTTGTGGTGCAGCCATTCATTTCTATGAGAGGTGACGGTGCAAATTGACCGTCCTCTTTTGCTTTGAAAGTGTTCAATCAGATTGAACTTTTCTAACTGCCTGGCAAAATAATAAAAGCAGCACAGATGGATGGATAATGATTGGCTGTAGTGAGTGCAAGGATGGTTACTGAAATTAATTACAGGAAAGTATTTGATGAAACCATGTATAATTAACAAACTTGTGGACTGCCATTAGCCTTCTAGCCACGCTAGATCCCGCATTATATATTTACAATCCTACCCATGCTATTTCCTATTCCCCCTGCTTTCGGCCACAAAAGAGTAAATTTAGCCTTGTGAATTTTCGGCCCAACTGTAAATTCAAATTAGCTTTATTGGCATGAATGTATAGCAACAATATTGGCAAAGCTACATATAAAGGACATAAGGACAATTAATTTCATACATTTCATTAGATAAGGAAATAAAACAGCAAAAGTTGTTTGTGTGTAGCTTTAGGGTACCTGTCTCCTGCTCCTCCACTGCTCCATGCTCACTCTCTAGCTGGCATGACAAAACTTCTCCAGCTCATGTGTAAGTCTGAAACCCTGTTGTAGTTACTTATTGGCTCCCAGGTGCATTACTCAAAACATTTACTTCCTCAATAAATAAAACATCAGACTCAAGACAGCTAAGTTCCCTACCTAATGCTACCAGTGGAAGAGCTCCAGGGTTACAGTAGGTAATTGTGCACTCCAGGCACAGTTTCAGCACTTCCTCTAAGCCACAAGCACCATTCCTAACCTATTCCCTGACCACTTCCCTAGAACAATTGTAAAATACAAGCATGAGCCTCAGCCCCTTTGGCAGGCCCATCTCCTCAGCCTCTTCTCCATCTTCAGTTTCAGTCTGACTGGAAGCCCGACCTCCAGCCATAACTTTGTGGGCGCAGGACCTCTATACTCGTGTGAAGTGAACATCCCTTAACCTTTGCTGTAGCAGTTGTCTACAGTGAACACGTTCCTCCACTATGGCCTGACCAAAACTAACAGTAACGTGTGTGTGTGTGTGTGTGTGTGAGAGTGATGAAAAGAGAGAGAGGAGGAAGGTCATTCTGGATATTTAGTGTGGATTGGCAAATGTTGGCATGTATGCATACGTATACGTCTCCGTGCTTAATGGTTGTTTTCATTAGCAGCAAGCCACAACTTAGTCCATCTACTTTTTTTTGCCTGGGGTGGAAAAAAAAATAAAAATAATCAAACCTAATCATAGCAGCGTTTTACAATGGGGCTTATAATATAAGCTGTTGAGAACCACAAAGATTGTTCTGGCCTCCAAAAAAACACACAGTCAGCGGATGACAAGGGTGGATCAAAGGACAGGTTTCCCTCTCAGTCAATTTTGTTTGATGTAACCAGACCTTGATTGTCGCCTCATTTCATGATACTCAGATACTTTGTATGTTGTTCCATAAAACACTCAATACGCATGACTAGACAGTCCTTCGACACATATTTTTAATCATGTATGAGCTACATCACTTAACCCGGAGGCAATTTCTTAAAATGCGCCAAGGAACTGAGCACATGGGAGAGATTTTATTTTCATGGCATTGTTGCACTTTATAAGTACTGCACCTACAAAAGGCTGATCTATAAAGCACAATTCTGCACAAAATATCAAACTATTCCTTTAAATCTATTTCAAAAATAAAAAGGAGCTGGGAATTTTTGATGGGTGGTAGGGTGGCGAAATTATGCCACTCTGTAAAATGCAAAAGGAAGGAGGTCTTATTGACTTTGTTTTTTTTTGTTGTTGTTGTTTTTTTTGTTTTGTTTTTTTGGACCCCCTACTGTTGATGTTGCCAGCGCATAACAGTGTTCAGTATGCTGTGTGTTTGGTCCTGGGTGGCCTTTAGACCACATCCTCCCACATCTCTCTTGAAACCAGAAGTGGCTTGGTTGTGCCTTCTCCCTGAGTTGCATTAGCGATGCATGTAATGTCCCTTTAAGATTCAGACAAGGTCTATTGTATCTCTGAGGTCTTCTTGGGCGGAGATCTGTTTGAGCCTATAACAAGTCGGTTGTTGAGGTGATGGATTCTTGGGGGATTTCTAAGAACTTTCAGAGGTGGAGCTGACAGGCAGGTGATGAAAGGTCTGGCCAGTTGCTTTACTTCAAAGATATTTTCATTTTTCTTCATCTCTCACCTTTATGTCAGAACTAAGGCTTTTTAACAGTGCTTTCAGATTGAATACATGTGAAACTCACATCTGCCAGGTAGACTTTTGGGGAAAAAAAGCTGAGGTCAGCTCTACCATAAAAATCAGTCTATTCTTCATTCAGCGCTCGACTCCTGCTGCTCAGCTTGTCCTCTCTTGCGTTTCCTTCTGTGCTGACCTAAATTTCTCGAGCCCTCTGAAAGCGAGTGCTGAAACGTGATATATGTAAGGCCAAGCGCATATGGGACTGATCAGGGATGCATTTCTTTGGTCAGAGCAATTCATGCTGCTTGCCCTTCACTGGCAGCCAAAACCATAGTGGCGCACTGCCCAAGAGTCAGTGTTTGGATAACACTGTGCGTGTGAGTGTGTATCCATTCTCTTCATTGTGAGTGTGTAAATGTACATTCCCTTCAGTTCATCTCTGTATGGGTGTGTGCCTGTGTGAATTCTCTCCCGTGCATGCATAAGCATGTGTATGCACGAATTGAGGCCTTCCTGGCTGCATCAATTTTGTTTGAATGACTGCTATGATACAAATGTCATGAGCTGATGTCTGTTGCTAGTCCTGTGGTTTGATTCAGTAACATGAAATTAATGTATGAGAATGAACCATAGACCACTGATGCTTTGCAGAATTTACCGTTTAGCCATAAGGTTTAAATAAATCTCCTAGGTGATACCACCACAGTATGCTGTAGCATATTTTGTGTAACAAAGGGAGTCTCTCTCTTATTGCTGACTTCAGTTTGATTAACTTCTTCAGATTTATTTCAGCTGACAGATTTACATGCCAAGTTTTGCCACATTCTGCTAAAGCAAAGGTTGTTATGTCTGTGCGTCAAATCACATAAGTCTACACTATGTAAAGAAATCACCCTGTTATGCTGTGTTTTTACTTGGTGTCCAAATGGTCTTAATCAGTCTGAATGAAAATATGTTGTGATGTAAGCCGCTACACCATGCCTTGATTTTGTTAAGAAATCTGGTCCGCGTGTTTTATTTCCCTATTTTCTCACAGCAGCAATGGCAGCACAATGATAAGCTATCCAACTTTACATACTGCAGTATTTCATCAGCCATCATGACGTGTCATTGACACCATGTTCATAGAAATATGATGGTTTTCTGTCACTGTCATGTCACTTTCTATTCCCTCCTCTCTCTCTCCTTCTGTCCTTCCATATTGCAGGAGCTGCTCCCTCTTGTGCTATCTTTCGAGCTTCCTGCCATCATGCAGTCTGACCCCAGCTCCCCCACTGTGCAGCACATCTCACAGACCTACAACCTCACAGTCTCCTTCAAGCCCCCGACCCGCCTCTACAGGGCCACCGGCGTGGTTCGTGGCTCACAGAATAACACCAACGCCGTCAAGGTGAGGAGGGTCTCGTAATTTGGATGAGAATATTGGTTGTTGGTGTTGATTGAATGGAATGATCGGTTCTTTCTGTTCCTTGGTTATTGCATAGAAAATTTTATCTAAATGTTAAAACATAATTATGTATGGCATTGGTGAATCCTACATTTTGTTCCATTCATTATTTAGTCTATTACAGAACATAGTGAAATATTCTCATTACAGTTTCACAGAGCCCAGGGTGACAGCGGGAACCAGTCAGTTTTTGTAAGGTTTGCTTGAAAAATGACAATTAACCAATCAAGTCAGAATTGTTGTCAATTCATTTTCTGCCAATTGACTAAATGTTTTAGCGCTAGATTAAATTCTAAATAAGCCCACAACTTCGGTACTAATTGGCCAATTCAGTCATCAGTTTATTTCAGCACTAATGCTCCAATTTCCATTTTAGAGAAATCTGTCTGTTTCCTCATACTGCGTTGATTGCATAAATAGCAGCTGTATAAATTCCGTTTTAGTTTGTATTTTCCCTTTTCAAAGTGGGTTGAAAATTTTAAGAGACCGTATAATAAATGTCATAAGTTCAACCCTCCTTATAGCCAGTGTATGACCTGTTAAAGATGGCTGAATAACTAACTGAACCCTGAACTGTGCAGTCTTTGTCAGTCATTTCAGTGTAACAATATTTGAGTTAATACCCTCACTCTTCTCCTACCGTTTACATGGCGAGCCACGGACCAGGAAATGGTTTCCAGAGCTGCACTATGTCAAAGCCCACCAACACTGTCAGTGTTCCTCACTTTTCTCGTATAAACTGCCTCATTACTTTCAGCACCACAGGGGCAAGAGAGTGCTGAGAGATGTTTGGTCGCTTAAACTGGACGGCTGCTGGGTCAGCTCTCCAATAGGAGAGAGAACCTCGTTCACAGCTCTACTAGGAAGTCCAGAAGTCTCCTGAGTTAACTTTTTATTTGATATGTATTTTGGAATTTCTTACAGTGTTTGCTCTCTACAGCTTGTTTATGCATAAACATAAAGTAAATTTTACATATGTGTGTATATATACACAGATGCACTTCCTCAACTGGCATCTGAGTGTTGCCAGTTAAAACCTGCCAAGGAGTCTTCTCATCATGCCTGCCTAGTCATACCTACAACTCACTTTTTTCCACAATATGCAACTTATTTCACTTTGCCAGTGCCTGGATTTGGCATACGAGTCTCTGAATTTGTGTATCCCCGTGCACTTCAATTTGGATCATGTGTTCTGTGTATAGTGAATATGTATGTATGCAGAAGCATAGCCCCTGAGCGTGTGGTAGGTCTGAGGGGTCAGTCAGAGTTAGGAAGCATGCCATGTGTAGACTAGAGGATTAGAGGAGTATGTGTGCTATGTTATGTGTTGGTGTAAGACCCTTGGAACACCTTCAAGGATTACCGAAACCGTTGTGGATTGTTGTTATGCTGGCCGCAGTGTATGAATTCCTGTTGCACACTGGAAATGACTTACTGGCTTGCAGAGGCATAGCAGAGACAGCAAGGAATGAGACTGTTCAACTGGCCAGCAGATGCAGTGGAAAATACAATAGCTGCCATTGGTTATACAGAAGGCTCTGGTGGGAAATGGGCAACACGGCTCTACTTCTACTACATTCACTGAGTTTGTCATGTGGTCTGGCTATTGCTCTAAATGAAATATTGTTTCAGCTTTGTTCTTAATTTTGTTTTTTTAAGACATTAACTCTTCGTTACAGACTAAACAATTAATCAAAAAATAATCAACAGATGAATTAATTATGAAAATATTCTTTTGGTTGGATCTAAATCCACTGCATAATTTTGCATAAAATCTTGTACAAGCATTTATGGTTCTTTGACTGTGTGTTCAACTGATTTTGGTGATCCTCTGACTTTTTATCTAGCGCCACCATCAGGTGAAAAATGTTTCCAATACTGATTTATGACTAAAAACCTGCAAAACTAATGACATTCCCATCAGCCTCAGCTAAAAAAATATTAGAATCTTTATATATTCAGATATTTTGTCAATTACCTTGTTATCCGTCTTTCCCTAGAGGGGTACTGCACTGCTTTTGGAGCACCTGGCTGGTAGCCTGGCAAGCACCATCTCAGTCACCACCCACCTGGACATCGCACCTCAGCACCACCTCTTCATGAAGGGCCGCAATGGAAGCAACATCAAGCACATCACCCAGAGAACTGGAGCCCAGATCCACTTCCCTGACCCCAACAGCCCCCAGAAGAAATCCACAGTCTACATTCAGGGCACCATTGAATCAGTCTGCCTGGCACGGCAGTACCTCATGGTGTGTACCTTGTGTGTGTTTTGTTTATTTGCCTCTGCCTATTGAAATCAATTACTTTAATCTGCAAAGCTTAGTTTTTGTGGTAAAGAGCTGACATTGGCAATATATTCCTAACATATACAGATTCCATTTTCTGTGTGGTAGCTATAATGGATGTCATTGTTTCACTAACATCATCATGGTATGTGTGAATGATGCGTGGGTTTTGAGATGGGGTTTAAGAAGTAAACCAAGATTGCCTTTGGGGGTTTTGAATAGCCTTGGGAGAGATTTGCTTGGCCCTTCTCATGCTGTTGAAATCTCCAGTTATACAACAATCTGTAGCCCACTCAAGGTTAGGCTGCCAGATTTATAGCCGCATACCTGCATGTGAGATGGACATTTGCATTGAGTTCTTGATGGCCTCTCTATATACAGATTATCCTTATTGGTGTTAATTGTAATGGTTTGGCTTGCATGTACAGTAGATTTTGGTGGATTTAAATTTCAGCTCTGTCTGTAATTCAGAGGTCAGCACATTACCATTAGTTTTTGGACCAGGAATGAAGCGCCTCACATTTAAATTTCTGTTGGTTAAAAATGCTCTGTGGTAATTCTTGTCTTTTTGCCTGTGACCGCTGAGGCTACCCTTATCTGAATTACATAGGAATATAATGAGATGTCTGTTTCAGAAAATGTGTAAAAGTGATGGCTGTTTAATTACCGTTGGCAAAGGCTTCTGCCGAGCTGGTGCATATAAGACATCTCAGCCGTAAACAGCGTTGGCTTTCTGTTTGGAGATCCATAATGTGGGGCAGTAATTCTGCTAGAGCTGCCTTCTCTTTGTCTGCGGTCTCCCATTTGGCCCCAAAGACATTTAGCAAATGCCAAAGTTGTTGCAGTGACTAAACAAAACTTTCTCTTGGTCTGGACACACAAGAAGGAACCTCTCACTCTGAGTGAGAGAGTGAAAAACGATTTATGAGAGAAGAGTTAGAGGGGAAAGGTGAAGCATAAAAGCAGGGGATGGGAGAGGAGGTTGAAGGGGAAAAAAGATGGGTGTAAAGAGGATTAAGGAGAGTTGCTCTGAAAGTAGAAGCCGTGTGGATGCACAGGAGGGGGAGAGAAGACCTGTTCTCAGTAGTGTACTGTGTGATTTGGCTTCTTCCAGCCAGACTGTAGATTACAGCTTCAATCTCAGGCCCTGTCAGAGCCAGCCTGGCCCTATACTCTGCTGCTAATTACACCCACTCACAATAGGAGTGCTGTCCAGCACTCGGCCCAAAATATAGATGTCTGTGGCGCTTGTGGTGGTGATCATGCAAAACAGATTGCTTTTGGCGGAATTTCCCAAGCTCTGTGTGGGATGAACCCAGCAGTGAATCTTGTATTTATTGGTATGGCTAACATGTAGGTCTACAGATGATATAGTATACTGGAACATTTACTACTGTTATGAGAAAAACCCTATTGGGACATATATTGGGACACAGATATGTTACAATATATTAGCTAAGGCTCTGAAAGATATTAATCTGCAGCCAATGTAAAAAAAAAATTAAAAAAAATGTTGTTTTGTGTTTGCTCCACAGGGCTGCTTGCCTCTGGTGTTAATGTTTGACATTAAAGAGGACATTGAGGTGGAGCCCCAGTGTATCACAGCACTAATGGAGCAGCTGGATGTCTTCATCAGCATCAAACCAAAGCCAAAACAGCCCAGCAAGGTAGGACACCAGGCTTACGCAGCAGGGAAAGTTTTAAGGCGATTTTTAGCCAATCACTTCCATCCAGACTGCAATATCTAACTATTAGACGGATGCCATATAATTTTGTACAGACATTCATGTTTCCCTGAGGATGCAGGCATTGAGGATGCAATAACATTGATGATGCCCCTGACTCTTTTTTTTTTCACTGTTTCCACTTGTACAAAATGGATTCATATGTTGATTTCTATAGAAAATAATATTTGGAGAATGAATTCGACAGATATTGTTAATACTTACACATGTACCTTTTAAGTTAAAATGTTAGGGGATACAATGGACAAAATTAATAAAATGAATCAGCCCTGCCAATAAACCTAAACCTCCACTAAACCTTAAAGTTTAGAAGGAACCATATCCTAACTTTTCACCCTTAGAAAAACAAACTGCTGTCTTACTTGTTCAAATGCTGTGTCACATACAGGGGAAAAAGACAATCAAGAAACAAGTAAGCCACTGTTCCTTTTGAGAATTACTCCGTCAAATGTCACAGCATGACACTGAAATAAATTATATATTGCCATGTCACATTTCATCACTATTTGATGAAATTTAAAAGGAAAAAATGGAACCATATACAGAGGGGAAACATGCCATACCAACACTGAGAAGAGTTTTGGCACATCGACATCGGCCACAGTGGGGAATCAAAGTGTGCTCTCCACTCAGCCTGCCAGACATGTTTCTCCTGACCTGGACGGGAACACTCAATCTTTGTATTATGCCTCAGCTATTCCAGCTAAAAAATAACTTTCCTGATTTGCATGTTTTGTCAGTAGTAAATAAAAAAATAAAGCCTGTATTAGTGAAATATGTTGAGCTCCATATTAATTTGCAACGGCTTACAGCAACATACACCTGTGTTACATTCAAAGCCAACCTTTTAATGTTACTCATGGTCTACTGTTCTACAACACATAATGTTCCTAATCATATTTCACCACTTGGCCCAGCCCTGACTGTCTCTTCAAGGTGCCCACATCCCAGGCTGAGCCAGGGCTCAGTGCCCAAACCAGACAGGCTTGTGGGGACTGGTGTGGAGGTGCCAGTGCAAACACTGACCCAGCCCAGATCCTCTTAAGAACCCTTCACTTAAACATTTTAACGAGGTGACAGCAGTAATTCAAAAGGCCCGTCCAAATGTATGCCGTAGCCTATGTGCTCCCCCAGCACTTTGGCAGACCTATAAAGGAGGGTGGGTGTGTGTGTGTGTGTGTGTGTGTGTGTGTGCACGCACGCTCGCACACACGCATTGGCGAGACTGATCGTGATTGGAATCCATTTTTCAAAAGCTCAACTCGCTGAAGATGCTGAAGATGTGATTTGTACTCACGTTCATTTTTCTTTGATGTTTATGAAGGGCAGGGTTTCTGGTGAAAAAAGTAATTTCTCTCACTGATTTAAAATCTTTCCTGTTTAATTCTTTACTTGATTTATTCCTGTTTATAATTTATTTGTTGATTTATTGCCTCGTAGTATAATAGTCACTGAGTAACTAGCATCACCTCGTATTCTCTTCATTCGTATCAAAGAGCAAGATATGGTATGTTATGCTGTTGATTAAGAAATGCTTTCTCTTAAACTTTGCTCTCTCCCACACTGCCTCAATGTTTATCCTTCTAATCTACATTTAATTCCCTCTTCCTTCCTCCCCTTTATGTTTGTCTCCCCTCATCCTCTCTTTCCCTCCTTAATTCTGGTGCCAACATTCCCTACCCAATCCATCCCGCGCTCCTCCCCTGCATTTCCTCTTTCTGCCTCTCTCTCATGCCTTTTTCCTACCTTCTCTTTTGCCACTCACCTTTTGCTCTCTTCCCTCCTTCCCATTTTCCTTTTACTTCCTTGTCCACCCCTCCTGTCATCTCTCAGTCTGTGATAGTCAAGAGCGTGGAGAGGAATGCAGTGAACATGTATGAAGCCCGAAAATTCCTCTTGGGTCTGGAGAGCAACGGCGTGTCGTCCTCCTCACCCTCTGTGGTGTTGAATCCCTCCACCAATGGCCCGTCCCCGTCCCTCATCTGCCCCGTTGGCCTGGACATCCTGGCCTCAGCTGGCCTGGGGCTGAGTAATCTGGGTAATGACGCTGTCTAGCTTGTTAAGAAAGTTTTTTTTCTTTTACTTTTTCTGTGATGGGGGAAAAAGATATATTCACGAAGAAGGAAGTGACCTTCTTTTTTCCTTGCACAAAATGTGTTAGAGATGAAATGTCTTTGTGGAGGAACTAATGTTCTCATACATCAGTGTCATTCGCTTCTCTACCAGTCACACACACAATACAGAGTAGTCTCTCCTAGGAAGACATCCATTGAAGAAATCTCAGAGTCAGATGTCCTCAAAGCCTGTTAACCTGGTTAACTGAATCACTGAGTACAAGTGATTTTTAATCAGATACTCAACATCCACATAAATCACAGCCAGTGAGTCATGGCACCATCATCTCTGTACAAGCTTTACAGTAGGAGTTGTTTGTCTGGAGAACTGGCCTCACCGTGATGGTATGAATTTCATGCCAAGAAATGAGTCCCGAACGTACAAATCTTTGATCGGCCAACCATCAGAAAATAACCTCAGTACGAATTTGGTTGCGCTACTTTGAATGAATCGTGAGCTTATGAATCATAGGATGATGAATGGTTATAATCGCGGAGGAGTTTGTTTTTCTGCAGCATTGACCTCAACATGAAGGCACAGAGTTCTGCTTGGAACAGATGTCAGTATTTTTTTTTGGTGTGCATTTCCAAGGGGGGACTAGTTGATAGTTGTAAAAATCATATTACAGGATAAATATTTATCCCCAGTTGTCTTTTTGCTTTCATATGATATGGTTTTTGGATTCACTTGAAAAACATGGAAATGAGGGTTTGAGTAATGCATCAATGGCAGTAGGAAAAGCAGATAGTAGAATATGCTGACGTGATGTAACTCTTGGCTGTAAGCACATACCAACATAACAACAGATCCATCACAGTTTATCTGTATTATAAGTTTAATTATTTGTGTTATATTCTGCAGCTATTTGTACAATATATTGGGTATATGTGGTAAGAGAGCACTGATTTTTGGGGCTGTTTTTATGTGGATAATTTGTTGCAATTCTAGCACAGAGAATTTACCATGTTTCATCTGCTCGTCTGATGAGAATGTGTTTTGGTATTTCAATGATGTTTATTTTTATTTTTTTTTCAAACAACATTTATTTCATGTTATTGTGTCCCCACCAAATGAGATGGGGGGAAAAGTTAATTTGAAAAATTGGTCACAAAACAATGTGCCATGAAGTGCCAGTACAGTAGAAATTGTTTCATGCCGTCTTGTTTAAACCCAGGGGCCCGGGGGTGAAGCTGTGGACGGCCACATCCTGGCCTTTAGTAATTGCTACATGCTTCTCTTCCTCAGATTACAGGCCAGTCTGCCAGAAGAATCCCTGGCCTTATTCCTGGAGCCAAACTAGCCCCTTGTTAAAGCCACAGACCTGCTTCTTTCTGTTTTCATACACTTTGTTTGGGTTAAGACACCAAGCACCACATTGTTGGTGCTCTCAATAACATGGTTTATTGGGTATGAGGACACACTAGATATGTACTTTTGCATCCATGACCTTGTAGAAATGTAAGGCATTCTTCCTCTTACTGTCTGATTGATGACGGTTTCATGGAATTCCAGTTAAATAGCTGGAAGACCAAGATTATTTTTGAGTCCCTTAGTGTAACGTGTGATTAGCTTGAAAAATGGCTTTGACCGGACCACCACTGATCTATTCATCTCCTGTTCTGTCCTTTCTTTCCCCTTTCCTTTCTGTTCTTCTCAGGTTTTCTGGGTGCAACGGCACCCCACTCCCTCACCAACTCTGCTGCCCCAAATGCTGTCCTCAACAGCTTAAACTCCTCCATGAGCCCTCTGCAGACCCCAAGCCCCAGTACGCCCACACCCTCTCCCTCCCTCTGGCCCAGTTCACTCACCAGCACCCAAGGTTGGTACATTGTCCAATGTCTCTCTTATTAAATTGGCCTGTGGTTCTATAAGATCTCTTTCAATATATATAGTTTTCAAGAAAAAGTATTTTATCTATGTAGAGTTTAAACTGTATGTCATAGAAAACCCAAGCAACTTGTACGTTCAAGGTGAAGATAATGGGGAACTCCACCGATATTACACATCAAAGTCTGTTTACAAGGGGGGGGGGGAAGAGTTGTATAAAGCCTTTTGTGGCTCCAGAGGGAACTAGGGGAAATCAGATAAATGCCTCAAGTGATAACACTTGAGTCAGCATTGGTTGGGTTTGAAGACTACAAGTTTGAAAATAAAAACAAATCTGGAGGTGTGGAGTTAGAAAAAAATTAAGCTTACCTGACGCAGACTTGTTTCTATGGAAGTTCCGAATAAAAAGAAAATAATCAAATGTGTGTTAGTATGGGATGGTTAATTTAAACATTTCTAATTAAATTTACAGAATAATTAGTATCATAATATATACCGTTACTGTGATATAAAATTACAGTACATGTAAATGTATTGATAAAAGATTTTGGCCATATCGGCCACCCCTAACTGGTCAGATTGGTAAGACGGACTGCAATACTAAATCGGTGGAGTACTTTTTTAATTGTGTGATTATATCTTACTATAAGGTGGAAGTACTGGACCCATATTATTTCAGGTATTTCAGGTATTTCAAGAATTTCAATTGATGTCATGTTTTAAATAAATGGGTAGATGGTTAGACGAATAGACAGAAATCTACAGGCCTCTGGGATAATTGTAAACACATCCCTTATGAACTACCGAAAGTTAATTGTTAATGCTACATCCTTCACCACTTCAGGCTACTCATCTCAGCTGATGCTGCACCCTGCCAACCAGGTCACCCTGAGTAGCATTCTACTATCAAGTGTGCAGGGATACACACAGAGTACACCGTCCCCTCCGCCTGGCCTCGCCCCCATAGACAAGCAGCCCAACGGAGTCCCTGACTGCAACAAGGGCCCCTGCACTCTTAATGGACATGTCAAGGTTGGCCCATTTTATATACTATATGCTGCATTACTTTGAGTTCATTTTAACTTTCGTGTTTGTGAATTTCACTTGTCCTGTATGTGTCTTGCTCTTTATGTGTACGTCTGTGTGTGCATGCATGTATAGCATCCTGGCTCAGTCTATGGGAGGATAGCAACTGCGTCACTTGCAGAAACTGTTTTGAGTCCAGCCCCATGTGACTCGGTCCAGGAAGCCAGTGGACACAATCCATCAGAACCGCTGTCCAGCAAGTCCAGCCCAGATGAAGGTATACACTCTTAACTCATAAAAACCACAACTACACACTATGTGCAAAATCACCATTATTTGTGGTTGTTGCATTTTTCAGTGACTAAATTACAGTTTTTGCTGCAAAATCGCATCATTGCTCTTATTCTATAGTAAAAACTAACTTATTTTTTTTATCATTTTCAGAAAGATAAAAGTAGGGTTATGGTGTGTGCTGAAAGAGCAAGCTATACTTTATCTGGTAGTGGTCTAATGGTTCGTAGTTGATCTGTACGGATCCCCCCCCCACAGTTTGTCATACAGGTGAACTACGGTTTCATTACAAAGTTTAATCATCATAGTATGTAAAACAGTTACTGCAGCTGTACTTTTAAGTTTTAATTTATATATTGGGATGAAGCATTGCAGTGAAAAATAGAAAAGAAAGATGCATGCTATGTCTAACTCTGAAGCACAGTGATTTGATGGTTTTAGGGGAGAGCGACTGATTTTAAAAGCCGGCACTTTCGCCTCCTTTGAGTGAATCCCAAGTAGGCTGTGATTTGGGGAATTTGTGACGTGTAACCAATCAGACAATGAGCGAGACTACTGACAGAGAGGCAGCTATATCAGAGCCTTTAAAAATGAATTTAACCTTCCTTAACCTTTTTTATTTATTTTTTTGCTGACCCAAAAAATTATCCGATTCGTAACTCAAAACTATGACATGATCCGAATTGAGGGTTTGCATGATGTAAATTCCGTCATCTGCCATCCATATATGCAGCCCAAAATCTGACTTGCAGGCTACTGTACACACCAAAAAAATCATAAAACATCATCTCCTATTCAAAATATCAAGGACATGCTGTTCACATTTTCAAGTTCTCAGGCTGCACTGACTCATCCTCTGTAATGTCTACCTTACCTTTGTGACTGGTAGAATATTTAACCCTTTGTAAAATAATTTCTTTATTCTCAAGCATTTTCTTTGGCCAAGGAAATTATAGTCAGTGTTTTTTTTAAATAGAACTTTCAGCTCACTCAAGAAGTTAATTGTTAAAGTCTACTTATAGCCTGAGTCTTGCCCTCTTGTGAGTCAGAGTTATGTTAAATACACATTTAAAATCTTGTGATTTATATGTGATTGTAACCTTGGATAGACAAATTTTTGGAGCTGTTAACATTTTTGACGCTGCTGGACCACGGCCTTGCAGACTTAACATAAATGTCCAATTTAAGCTTTTCCACTTGAGATTTATGTAACCCTTAAACCCACTTTGAGGAAAATGCCCTTTTTTATTTCTCTATACTGTCCTCCTAACCTCATACTCCCTCTGACTACATTTATTGTGTTGAAACGGAGACGTATTAACTGCTGGTCTCCTAGCGGTTCAGAAAGGCCCTCATTTCCTCTGTGTCTTACATTCGTGGTTTTCCCCTCAAACTTTCACTCTCACGCGTCTCGTTTTTCCCCTGCTGTTTTCTGAGTTGGTCCTCCCCCAGTGTGGTACATCCCAGTAAGGTTTCCTCTCCCTCCCTTACCTCCTCCTGTGTCCCAAAATGTATTTGGACTGGCTCGCCCAGTCTGACTCGACTCTACGTTGCGGAATGAGGGAGTGCGGGGGGATTGCTCAAACGTTAAACCCCAGAGAGCTTCATTAGATTGACTGACATATTATTTTACGCTACACAGTACACCATGCACATCCAGATATTCGTGAATATACACGTGCATACACTCACACACAGGCACATCCTGTTATACAGAGCACATTCAGGCTGAAAGAGTAGCCGGGTAAAAGTACTTTAATTACAGCTGCGGCGTTTTTAATTCATCCAGGATCCCACTGAGACTTGTCACACTTTTTTAACACATACACACATACATACGCCGACCAAGCTACACACACTCCTTTACACTGAGTGATCCAGTCACTACTGAAACAGCCTGTGCAAGGCAGAAATTGAAAAGTGAGATGAAACATGAAGTATTTCAGCTTTTTGTTGTCATAATATTGTGGATTTTCTATAGCAGCTGTAAACTCTGTCTCTGTGTTTACACATTATTTAAGAGTTGAAATGAAAAGGATAATCAAAATATGATTGTGTTTGTTTCCTTCAGGCTCTGACACATTTGTGGAAGTGGGCATGCCCAGAAGCCCCTCACACTCAGCCAATGGGAACGAGCTGAAACAGATGCTGACTTCATGCAAGACATCATCAGGGAAACGACAGGCTGTGGAGCTCCTGCAGGGCACCAAGAACTCCCATCTACAGTATGTTTGACTCTAGAGATCATTTACCGCTCGTCTTGTTACTGTTTAGCATCCCTTCTGAGATCATTTACAGCTCACGCTGTTACAGTTTGGCAGTCCTCTAGCCACAGAGACACTGAGGTGAAATAGCATTCAGTGGAATCAAACCCAAGCATACAGATTTTATTTTTAAAAGACAACACTAGAAGATAACACATTAACTGTCAGAGGTTGCTATTTTGTTCTATATGGAGATTTAAGTTGGTATTAGCCACCATATGGACTGGGTTTCTCACACTCACCTTGAACAGCATGGTTATCACAACTGTTTCTTAATAATAAAAACGTGTAAACAGTCAAACCTGATGAAGCGGAAACATTAACAGCCTTTTTTAGGATGGATTTTCTTCACTCACTCACGATACTATATTTTTCAATTTAATCCAAACAGTTCTGACTGTCTTCTCTCGGACGCCGAGTCGAGCTCGTCAGACAGTCCTGTGGCGGATAAGAGGGCACCCGGGAGCGAGCGTGCAGCTGAGAGGGCAGCACAGTTTAATGAGAGGGAGAGAATCAGATTGGGACCACAGACCTCCTTCGCCAACATGCAGGTACACACACACACATCCAACACGCACATAAAACTCAGTTTTGTGGGGGTTTTGGGATATAGGAATAAAACGGTCTGCTGTCCTTTCAGGCATTTGACTATGAACAGAAAAAGCTGTTGGCAACCAAAGGTAAGTTGACATGTGTGGATGAGCCCATAATTTAGCCTTGTGTGAAGACAGACATATAATGTGTATAATAATTGAAATGTCACACATGCCAGTAAGTCCAACAACAGTTAGTGTGTCCCCTGAAAATCTCTCAAAGAGGACTCAGTTTCCCTGTTTTATCTCTGTGGATAGAAGTTTTTGTAATGGCCATAATATATAATTTACATTTCTTAAACTTAAAACTAAAATACAATATGCTAAAAGTAGATACATGTACCACTTGTAACATTGTAATCGGTGTGTAAAAATTTATTTATCTACCTTTAGGTAATATAGGGTAGTTTTTAGCTGCAAGATATGTTGTTTGGTTGTATCTCTGTATTGGTGTATTTGTGCATCACTGTATGTCTTTATTCACACAGCTATGTTAAAGAAGCCTGTGGTAACTGAGGTGCGGACCCCTACGAACACTTGGAGTGGTCTGGGCTTCTCAAAGTCCATGCCAGCTGAGACCATCAAGGAGCTGCGGAGAGCCAATCATGTTTCATACAAGCCCAGCATGAGCACCACCTACGAGGTCAGACATACTAAGACTGACTACATCAGACTAAGTGTTCCTCAGCCATTCTCATCATCTCTGATAAATAAGTTCACCTTTGGCATTTACCGTCATTATGTGTATAATATAGAAGATGTGCAATGTAGTCACTCAGAACTCAGCAGACATTCAGAACTCCTTGTTGAATGTTTGGATTTTTCTCTATTAGGGTTCCCCGCTGTCCTTGTCTCGATCCAGCAGCCGGGAAGGCATTGGGAATGGCAGTGACTCTGACAACTGGCGAGATAGAAATGGTAACGGCCTGCCGAGTCACACCGAGTTCCCCTCCGCTGTCAGCAGCCCAAAGAGGAAGCAGAACAAATCTGGTCAGTTCAGCATATTTCTGTAGTGTCTATGCTACATTGAAAAGCACTGAAACTTTTAAAGGATTGCATTGGTCAACTATGAAAGCAAGAGTACAGATGAAGAATAGGCTATACTCAAGATAAAAAACCATCTACTCAAAAGTGTGTCATCACATACTAAATATTCCTTGTTTCTTTGTAGGACTTGTCAGTGATAGCTCAGATGTGAGTGAATCATTGCTGTTTTTTTGCTTTCCTCAAAGTTACCATCATTTTGTGTTTTTTCCTGTATGCCTTATTCCTTTGATGGACAGCTGCGGAGCATTACCTCAGCAGCAGCAACTACATGGACTGCATCTCTTCGGTAACTGGCAGCAACGGCTGCAGCCTGAACTCTTCTTTGAAAGGCTCAGACCTGCCTGAGCTGTTCAGCAAGCTGGGTTTGGGAAAGTACACAGACGTCTTCCAGCAACAAGAGGTAGCGTAGAATGTGAACCCACTTCTACTAGTGTTAGGATTTTAAATGGGGGACTGTCGAACTGAAGACAGGCACTGCTATTTTCAAAAATTGTAGAGAAATTACACTTTTTAGCCACGCTACCAGCAAGGCTCTAGGGATGGCAGTGTCTGTCAGTTGGTCTGAAAATCAATATCTACTACATGAGTGGCCATGAACGCTGCTACAGACAAAATTTTAATGCCTTCAGGGATCCATTAACTTTCCCTGTAGCAGTCATAAGATAGAAATGTTAATCTGTCCAATACTTCGGACCAAATACATGCAGAACTAATAGCATTGCCATCAGCCTCAGCTGTACACATCAGAACTCTCATCAGTTTGAGAACCACTGCAATAAACTAAGATGGTGAAACTGGTACATTATAAATGCTAATCATTAGCAATGTCACTATGTTAGCATGCTGATTAAAGCTAAAGCTATGAGTTGCAGATGAAAAGATGTCTGGGTAAAAAATGGCCTACATTATTTGCACAATTTATGGGCAAATTTATACTTCCTCTGACTTCTAAAGTACACTGCTGTAAGTTGCATTATAGTGTCTTTTTAAATAAAATGTCCATATTGTATATGTAACAAGCAATCAGACATTTTTATTCGAGGATAGCATGTACAGTAGCTGCATGCCTTAGAAAATGTGATAATAAGGCAGAGGGTTGCAATATGAGAGCAAAGAAGAGGAGATGGGTTCAGTGGGTATTTATGGAAATGCTGGGAGTGGTGTTATAGAGGTGTGGTCCTGCTCCTTGGCTAAATATTTCCACTCTGTCATGGCTGGCAATTTTAATGAGCATTTGTACTTAGGGTGCCACTTGTTTTTTGGTTGAATGTCTCCTATTAGATGAATTGTGCTGTTAGTAGGGTTAAATTGACTTGTTGCTGCTTCCAGATTGACCTCCAGACATTCCTGACTCTGACAGACCAGGACCTGAAGGAACTGGGCATCACCACCTTTGGAGCCCGCAGGAAAATGCTGCTTGCCATCTCAGGTACCTCATCCCTGTATTCCTCTGCTATCAACTGTCCAGCAAACCAAAATTGACAAAAAAAAAAAACACGTTAACAGAAAGGGAGATACGGTACGGAGATACCCTCATACGACCCCTGTCTTAAGTCCTTTTTTGTGCTGATAATCGCTGAGACCAGCTGGAGACTCATCCGGCCAGCTCACTCCTGCTGAAGGCAGTTCACTCAAATTGGCTTATGTGTTTCATTCATGTTTCCTATTTTGTCTGTCGCGGCAAAAATCCTGAGTGGAGCCCAGCAATAGGCAAAAAGTGTACTCCAAGTGACAGAGGACATCTTCACTGCCAACCATTGGATTTGAAGGCTTTTGGTGGCCCTTATTAGTGGTAGACTAGTGTAGAAGTTCAAGACAGTACAGTTGTAACAAATGTATCTTGTAAAAGTACAAAAAACATGTTTTCACCAGTAAATAGGATTAAGGCACTTTCTTCTCACATGAGAGTTTTGGTATTTCTCCAGTTGCTCCAGCTGCCTTTGTGATGCTGGTGTAGACTCTGTCCTGTTGTTGCACTGGGTCCCATGTGAATGTTGTCGGTGTCACACTTGATTACTGATGTCATATTTTGGACATTGTAATAGCTGGAGCTGTTAGGCTGCGTAAGTTAATCATGGGATCATGAGCTTCCTGCCATGGAAATTCTGTTAAAGTTCAGAAACCTCAGACCAGAGCCAGGGTTGACAGTGAGACCAACAAGGGGAAATGGCGAGGTCAGTGCTCTGATTATTAAGGAAGCAGAGGGATTCAAGGCCAGAATTGGTTTCGCTGCCTGACGATTCAGCCAAGTACAGGTCAACTTTCATCTCTGCTGAAGGACTCTTGGGCTCCAAAACAACGCACGTCTATGTCTGCCTCTTTGTCTTGTCTTGACAATCCAGGTTTCAACTTCCTGCCAGTAAAAAGAGCTGCTGGAGTGAGCTGCTTGTCTCCAGTAATCAAATTGAAGGTTTATGCTGGCAGCGACAGAAGGTGGCTATCATATGAATAACTCAGAGATGCCAGAGTGTGCTTCTGACACTTTTTATGAAAGCATTTTGTTCAAGCTGCTGTGTAAAACCAGATGGAATCAAACATGGCTTTTCTTGATCTAAGCAATCCTGTAGTGATTTTGAATACAATTTTCTTGTCATTGTTGATCAATTGAGGCTAAAAGGAAATGTTAAAATGCGCATTTTGTTGTGTTTATTTATTTTCTTGAGTATTTACTTTCACTCCCAAATAACCACTAGGAGAATGTTACCATCACCTTTGCTGCCACTGATGTTTTGGGGTGCTCGTGTTTTTGTTTTTTTACAGAACTAAACAAGAACCGGAGGAAGCTATTTGAGCCACCCATCAGGTCCTCCTTCCTGGAAGGGGGCGCGAGCGGCCGCCTCTCCCGTCAGTTTCACGCAGACATGGCCAGCATCAGCGGGCGATGGTAGGTGCCTCCAGACCTCCAGGCCTTCCCAGAACCGTCCATGATGGAAACCAGCCTCCAGAATCTTTCTGTGCTTCAGCAGCCCAGGTTTCAGTGGTTGTTTACCCTCTTTCAGCTTCAGCTGAGTTAAGACTGTTTAAAATGTTGACGTTGCCATATAGTATAAATATATATTAAAAAGCCATAGTTTTACCTGAAGTGCCAACAAGAAAAAAGGGATGTTTCAGATGAGCTTCAGTGTTCACTCCTTATAGAGCCATAGAGCCTATCTGGAGCATTTATATATGAAGGTTGTTGTTATGGTTCCGAAGAAGGGTACAGTCCAGTATTTTTGTCCACTTATTGTTTAAGGGAACAGGCAGAATGATTAGTACATCATTTTACACATTGATACTACCTGCATTTGTATTATGCTGTTGTATCAGTGACATGCACTTTAATAATACTAGACTTTTGCCTGTGAGAGCCTAATTCCTTAGATTGAAATAATGATAACTATGCATTTTTTTTATTGACTAAAAGCACAGATGCATTTTCTACCAAGCCAAATGTAAGCACTTAACCAGTGAGATTAGGGCACCACCAAATGATGTCCAAAATACACCAGCACACCAAAATGGGACTTCATCAACTTTAACACATATACCAAAGGAAATTGTGGCATTTGACCTTTGGCTGCCTTAAGTATTTTGATTGGGGGACATTCCTCCAAGGTCAGTGTTTGTGTCCAACTGTCTATTTGTGTGTCTTATTTCAAGACAAAAAAAAATCAAATATTTTGTAGTCATATTGCATTATGATTTTATTTTTAGTTTTTATTACTATTTTAGGGGAATGGGTGGGATGTTTAATGTTAATCAGTTTACATATGTATTTTTTTATACGTTCATGAATGATTTTTGTAATTAGATTATTAGTATCTTTTACTTTCCTCTGCCCTTTAAACTGTGGAGCCGTAATATGGCTGTGCCATTAGACAGCAGCAGAGACAAGAGGCAGTTAGGCTAGGCTTTGTAGGCCTCTCTCTGATTGTGTCAACAGGCATCTTTCTGTGGTTTTCCTTCTCTGTTTATAGTACATGGTCTATTGTCTCATCTGTTGTTTGTCAGTGTTGGCCTCCCTGTGGCCTCTTCTGTGTGCCTAAAATCTCACAGAGCACTCCCTATGTATCCGGAAGATGAGTTGCTATGCTAGAACAGTGTGCCTTTTTTTTGTTCTTCCTATTCACTGGCTGTTACATTTAGAGCAAGGAAAGACCTCCTAACAAAGCAAGGCCATGCCTTTGTAGCGAAAAAGTGCCAATGTACATAAGTAGTTTTTCAGCAGGGAGATATTTCGTTAAGAACACTAATATTTTTGTCTGACCATACTCTCCAGATAGGAGGTGCATCACACAAAGAACCAGTATATTCACAGCCAAGTTGGTTTCATATGAGCATTTCTACAAGATACACAAATAAGGAACCAAAGTCATCAGAAGGACTGTGAGATTTAAGATGAAAACAAATCTGGAATTTTCTAGTATCAGTCTTGCAATCTAATATCCACAAAACCTGGTTAAGCAGTGTTTAATGAAGTAACAGGATTATGCATGCAAAGCAAAGCTCATGTTTGTTCTGGGCCCTGATATTATGTTCGGTCATGTGTTTCAAAAGGAAAACATCCTTTTCCAACCGTTCATTAACTTTAGATAACGGGGGGGGGGGGTGTTGTGTGATGATCTTAAGATTTATCTGAGGATTTAGTCCACATGCCGATCCATCTTCCACGTTTTGTATCAAGTGCAATTAAATGCCTCTTTTTTTAAGTTTTTTTGTTTGTTTTGTTAGTTTTTGTTTGTTTTGTATTTGCAGTTCATTAAGTGTAAAAGCTGGTTTAAATGAGAGTAGTGTATAAAATCTATTAGGTATGTACAGAACGCTCCTTAGAAATTGTCACAGTTCATGGTATGGACATTTATCTGGACAAACTTAATTATGACAAAGAAAAAGCAGTCTTCATATCCTCTCAAACAGACCATTTATCACCTCTCTTTGATGTTTGCAATGGTTCCCTTTTAAGGTGACTTGTTTATAATGTTTGCCTTTAACCACTTCCCACCCTCCCTTGCATCTGATTTGAGCCATTCTCAATGTGGTTGTCAAGTTAATAACACTATACTAAATAATATTCTGACATGGTTGCCGACGCCAACCAGGTAGTTGTCTATTTTCTTTTTTCTTTGAAGTCTTAAGAAAAGAGTTGAAAGGAGAGAAAGCTATGGAGAGGGATTCTTTATCCTGAATGGAAACCCGGGGCCGGTTCGCCCCTACTCATCATGGTACTACATTAAAACTGTTGAGCACTGATTCTGCCAGTGCTGTGACTCGTGTTCCTGCCTAGCAGACATTTGTTTTCATCCCTCACCATGTTCAGATGTGTTTGCTCGGAGGGCAGTAGAGGTTCTTGTCTTTATAAAGTGAATGTTGTTTTAAAAAAATACTGATGCATGTTATTGCAGATTTATTATGGATCAATGAAGGGACTCATCAAGTGGAAACGTTTACTGCCAGCTTGTCTTGTCTTTGCCCTTGATAGAATAGTTTCACAATTATGTCTTTGATTTGTTGTATTAGTCATATTATTGTTCCCAAAGGGATTTATTTGAAGGAGTCTTTGTACTGCAATCAAATGGTACATTTATAATAAATGTAAACCACTAAGGAAATTATGTAATACATAACATTTGTACTTTTTCATCATATACAACTGTTGTTTTTGTGTGAGAAAGGTACAATTCTGCACAAAGCTCCAGAGAAGAATTTGTGTATAAACATTGCCGTGTGGCCAAAGCTCTGTTCACTGTGGCATCTGTTGATGCTATTGTTATTCTGACTGTATTGTAGTACAGATATAAACAGGACTTTTTGGAGAAACTGTCAAGCAGGCAAAAAAAGTTTGTTCAAACATTCAAATGATATTATGAATGTAATAAATGTATGCAAACAAAGTCCCTCTTTTGCTTTTGTTTTCTGCATATCACACAGAAATGTCAAGACGGACAAAGCATCCGTGTCCACAATCGTCATTAGTGTCTCTTCCATAGTCTCAGAATGGAAGGAAGATGACAGCAGATTACGGGAAATCCAGGCTTGCATAACCCTGCTTCTTCCAGAATGTTCACATATAGCAGATAAACAGCACTCCAGAAGTATTAAAATGAATGAATAAAAGGCCCCTGCTGCAGCTACTGCTTTTAATTATAAAATCAGTGCATTTTAAATATATATGCCACAAAATACTGCTGGCAAATTTAGTACTCACAAAGAATGAGGTTTATAACTACAAGGAGATTGTTTAGCCACACACTACATTCACTTTATCTGGCTTAACTGTAATCAAAAACGCATACATACTCTGCAAGTTGAGATACAACCCAGTCCCATGCCATGTGGTTATGGTGCCATGCATGTCTACATGAGGCCTAATCCGCATAGCCAGGATCTCCTTAATCCAACAGAATGAATCTGCTGTGACTGATGGAGACTCAGCAGAGACAATACATACTGTTAAGCATGAGTACCAATTTGTTTCAACCTCTGTCCTGCCCACCAGACTACTAGACCATGAAAGAAGTAAAAATTATTAAGAGAATTTTTTTGCACTATTTTTGTATTTGGTTTGTTCCATTTTCCGCTCTTTTTTTTTAGGCATTATCCCCGTCATGTAATCTTGTTCCTCTATGATGAATTGAGGACTTCATATTTGAATATCTTCTGTCTGAGTAAGGTCATTGTCATAAACTCAGCACTCTGTCACCTGGCTGTGGTACATTGACAGTAAGCCATAACAATGTGAATTTATAATGAGCAGCTCAGCAAAATTAGTGAATTAGTGCAGGGCAAAAACACAGGCACTATCATTGAAAACCTCAAGGGGGCAGTGTTGCCACTTAAAATGACTCAGGCCTCAACTGAACCATAGACAAAGGTTATTCAGCAACTGATTATTACATGTTTAGAAAATATTTCATAACATGACAAAGTTACTGGTGGATTGTTTGTGGGATTTAACAGAATGGTTCAAAAAGAACATTTGAGACTAGAGACATTGTCTGTTTTTTAACACATTAGGTATATATATCACCTGTAATATATATTTAGTTGTAGTTTTGAATATCAGATGTAGAGACTATAGGTATTTAGGTAGGTGTATGTGTGTGACCCCATGCAGGCAACAAACACCTTTTGTCTGTGATTACATTTTTCCATTTCATTCTGATCATATGAACTGCTCCAAACCTCATCCACAGGCCTCTCTTGTTTATGTCAGAAAATTAATGTTCAGATGGCGAACAGACAGAGAGAGAGCCTCTCATTCAATGCAAATGAGCCCTTAACAGAAACAGGTGGTGCCACTGAACTATGTTCTGTGGCAGTTTGTGACTCACTCACTTTGTCTTCCTCTGTTATTATTTTCCACAGGAGCTTCAGGAACGCCTTCATGTTAACACCACAACACTGAATGGGATGTAAATACTTGTATGTTATTCTGAGGAGCTCAGGGATGTTAAGAAAACATTCATTATAGTGTCTGCTGCAAATTCCTCATATGATAAATAGATCCGAGCAATAATGAAATCTCAATTTTAACTTACTCAGAGAATCATTGACGTAGACCTTAGCTACCACTGGAACAAATACACTTACGATGTACTCCACAAAACAATCCCACATGCAACAGGCATAAGAGTTCCAGAGAAAAGCTGTTAAATCACGACTATCAAAGTCTTTCTTCACCTCACTTAGGGCAGTTATGTGTGCAGGAACAGCTGGCAATCATTCTCAAGTCCCCAACATGACTCATTTCAATTTCATGTTCTTTTGTTAGAGACCGAGAGTGAAAGACTGCTAAATTGCAGAGAAAAGGAACTATGGGCTTTCATCCCTAACCAACCATGCATGTTTTCTGCATCCTGGCGACCTCCCCACTTGATGACCAGTAGAGTCCACAGCTTCACATATTGCTCTCATGGGCAGCTTGCCTCTCCAGGAAAGGTGTAAATGAGAAGAGCTGTGACTTGGTTGCTATCTCACCATACCTGGCTCTTGTCCAGTGGACAATATGCTTACAGTGTCTGATAAGTCCAGCTCATTGAGTTTATCTACGTGTTTGTTTTCTCCTTGTTAATTTTTTCTTATACAAATATCTCACTAACACATAAACTGTTTGTTTGCATATCTGCAGCATTCAGTAACATGTCAGTTTGAGATTGTGTGGTAATAATGCCATTGATGAAAACTGAACATCTTAACACTGAAAATACACAGAGCCTTCATGGCTGTTTCTTAGAAGAAATTAAGCAGCATAGCCTTTTTGTATTACTTTTTTTATAATTTGCCTCTCAATGTCTTATTAACTTCAAATATGGATATAGATCAATCTACAATCTCACTTTTCATAACCTTATTGTCTTTTCCCATTTCAACTGAATCAGCTGGCTGAGGGCATTAAACCTATTGACCTCCACTGATCTGATTGTTACTTTAACAACAGGATGGAGGGTGAAGGCGTTTCATTCTTGAAAAGCTCAGATAAACTGGGATTGCATTTGGAGACCCAGAGACACACATGGCATTATCAATCAAACTGCAGCCAGGCTAAGGCCTGAGTTCACACAGCAAATTGATGACACACATCATTGGCTTCCCTCAGACAAATGTGTTTGTGGTACCCACTCACAGACACACATTGAGCTCAAGAGACTCGCTATTGTTTTCTGCTAATGTAAAATGGTGTGGCCTGAGCTCCATAACTGGCTCATAACTGACCCCTTGGATAAGAAGTAATGTGTAGTGACCGCAGGCTGGGTGTGTGTGTGTGTGTGTGTGTGTGTGTGTGTGTGTGTGTGTGTGTGTGTGAGAGAGAGAGAGAGAGACAGAGAGACAGAGAGAAAGATACAGAAAGCATGGAGTAAATATAATAAAAGAGAGATTTGGGTTTGACTCCTCTCCTCTTTTTCTTCATCCTATTATTTTCAAACCTATTTGGCCTGGCTTCTCTGAGACTAACTCTCCCTGCTATTTCTCCATCTGCCTCTGTGTGTTCATGTGGCCTCTGAGCACAGCAGAGTAGACTTCCACTACAGGACACACTATGGCATATAGTGTACATAGATACACACACTGGCATTGCAAAGTAATGCACTTTATGAGAGAACGAGTAGCCCATCACAGCAGAGAGAATGTAGGAAAACAAATAAAGAAAAGGAGACAAGACAGTAGAAGGGAACGTGAATAGGAAAAGAGGATGTATGTGAAGGAGGAGGTGAACTTGGCTGGGTGTGTGTTACATGGGACACAGTGTCACTCTTCCTTGTCCTCCTGCAGCGCTGCTGGAAACACTGACGCTAACACATGATGACTCTTGCTGGAGGGGATACGGGTGGGTGGAGAGAGGGATGGCAAGGAGGACGGATTGAAAGAACCCTCCAGAATCGGTCGGCCTCATCCTCCTCCTCCTCTCCCATACCAGACAAGCACAGCAGGCAGAGAAGGGAAATGAGAAAGGGGAGGGAGACAGGGCGACATAGTCAAGATGATTTTTAAATTTGGTGTAGGCTGCTATTAGGGCCATTAGTTCTTTTTGTTTATGTTTTTGATCACTGCCCATAGACCTTTGATGAGCTCACTCACCGGAATGATATTGGAAACAGAGTCAATTAAACAGATGCTGTGTTAATCTGCGGACATCAGCGCAAAGCTCTTTAGTAATCAAGCTATCAGCAGGGGGCCCGGGGTAGTTGGTAAATCATGCTCATATGGTAAACATTTAAAAGCATAATGCTACATTTAACTTTCCTACACAAATAACTTTGGTTTCAAATTGTAGACCATTGCCTCTGTTGATACAGAATCTAGCAGCATCCTCTCTCCTCAGACACAGATGGCTGTGTGTTTGCAGGGAGTGATTAGCATACTGACCTTCTCTTTTAATGAGTTGTATTTCCCAGGCAGGACATTTGAGCCAGATGCAGCATTCATTGTCCAAGTGAAATCTGAGAATGGAATAAATGCGGACCTTCAGTGGTGCGTCTGATATGTTTCCTACTGCATCTGAATGTCACCGTGATTATGAGCTTACCAGGATTTTAATTCGCACGCCCGCAATAACCCCATGTTCTGATCCTCATGCTCATCAATTATCTTTACTTTGTCTGTCTGAAAAAAATAAACTGAACAATTTAAATATAAAAATGATCACGTCCTCTGTTCCAACTTCAGATGTGATCATGCGTCAGTACACGTAGCTGAGTTAGGGTGGCTTCCCTTCTATAATTCGCATGTAGCCTGTAGTGCTGCAGTTCCCCCTCTGCCGTTTTGAACAGCATGACTTAGGGGTCCCAAAGGCGCAGCTGCAGGATTCGTTGTCCGCTGAATAGATAAACACTCACTGTCGCCTCTCCTCTGGACGGCTTGCTTCCCCTATGGAGAGTGGAGAGGAGACAACGCTGCTTTGTATAAGAATGAAAATGACTGCCATGGCCAAATGGTGTTGTGAGAAGCGCCTGCAGCCTTGAGTGTTTGTTTAGCCGCAATTTGCCTGTGCACTTGACCTTTCATGCCTTGTTTTCATGCGATGGCAATGAAAGGTCCTGCTCCTGGGTGCCACTGATAAAGAGGTGTAGTCCTGGGTAGATAATTGCAAACCGACACACCCCACCGCAAAGCATTGCTTATGGTTTTCTAGCACCCAGGGGGTTGTGCATTTATTACGTGCCATTAAATGCAAGAAGGGTTGCCTATAAGATGGAAACGCAGATGCTGTTCATTCATTATGTCCTGCAATATGTCAGAGCCGTCGTCCCCCAGCTCATTATTGTATGGTCCACTTGCACCTGCGCTCCTGCGAGAGAGGGCTACACCTCACCAAATAAGGACATGTGAGAGACCCTTGTTGGGATGACGTTGAATGTGAAATAGAAAAGGACAGGAGAGTGTGGACGGTTTA